GTAGCCCCAAGGAGAGAGCGTTACAGTAGTCCAGGCGAGAAAGGATGAGGGCATGAGTGACTGTGCACAGAGCATCCCGATCCAGGAAGGGGCCCAACTGACATGCCAGGCGAACTGGTAAAAGGCCCCCCTGGTCATGGCCGTCAGATGTTCACTTAACAACTTCAGCAATTCACTTAGAAGCCACGGCAACATGGTTGCAAAATTGGGCACAATTCACTTAAAAACTGCCTTATCAGTTGTACTCATATAAGTCAAGGACTATCTGTATAGGAAGATTAGCTGGTATGAATAACATTACAGCTTATGACAACTTGGGTAGGAAAGAAGCAGTATAGGTATAGTTCTTGGCTTACAACTACAATTGAGCCCGAAATTTCTGTTGCTAAGTGAGACATTCAAGTGAATTTTGCTCCATTTTATGACTTTGCTTGCCACAATTGTTAAGTGAATCTAGCTTTCCATTGACTCTGCTTATCAGAGAGTCGCAAAAAGGGATCACATGACCCCGGGACACTGCAACCGTCATAAATATGAGTCATAATGTGTGAATCACATGACCATTGAGATGCTGAAGTGGTCCCAAGTGTGGAAAAATGAATATAAATCACTTTTTTTCAGTGCCGTTGTAACTTTGGTCACTAAATGAACTGTTGTAAAGGCAAGGATTACCTGTATTTCAATCAACCTTACAAACTCTGAATATTACAATTTCACATCATACAGTTCATGTAGTCGTAAGTCAAGGACTACCTGTAGTTTCTGCAGCCTCACAGTCTTGCACAACAAAGGAGTTGTGTGCAAGTGGAATGGAGTCCAGTACAAATTTCTCCTTTGCCGTCTGGATAAGCGTGGGAGGACTTTTGTTTGTTCATACCTAACTTAGGTCTATTTTTCTCAAGAAGAGCAATAAACATGCAGGCAGCTGAGAGCTTATGGTCATTTGCAGATATTTTGACCTAGGCTTCCCCAAAAAGCACAAAGCAGATTCCTTGTCCGGACAAAACCCCTTTTATTAAACGAATGTGAATTCCTCTCATTCACAATCAGCCAAGGCCTGGTAAACCACCTTCCAAAGGTGAATTTATGACCACAGACCTTATCTAGCTTGGAAAGCTGCCATGTAAATATTTCCCAAATGAGGTGCTGTGCAAGGAAAGACTCAAAATTTCCACTACTGGTTCTCCAGAACTGGTCAGAACCTGCTGAATACCACCTCTGATCCCGGGATGCAAAAAACCTGCCACAGTTAGACAATGGAAACAGAGATTTCCATTGGGGAAGCTTGACCTACCATCAACGTTTTCTTCCTCACGGCTTCAACTCTATGAATTGCTTCTTCTATTTTATTCTAGGCCGAAAAGATGAGTTAGCTTGAAAGGAAGACGGATCTTAACAAAAACTTGTGCCATTCGTATGTGGACTTTTTACTTGTTGCCAACCCTTGGGAAGATCCACCTCATTTTTATGCTACGCTGCCTGGTTATGTTCCACCATAATTATCGCATCAACTCTGGCTAAATCCTTTCCCACGGCTGGCCCATGCGCGTGGTTTCTCTCATGTTTCAAGAGGGATGCTTTGTGACTGAACTTTTTCCCGCAGTCCAAACACCCAAAGGGCTTCTCCCCCGTGTGGCTTCTCTGATGATTAATCAGGTTGGATCGCTGACTGAAGCTCTTCCCACATGCCGCACAGTCATACGGTTTCTCCCCCGTGTGAGTTCTTTGGTGGCCGACCAGGAATTCTCTCCGGCTGAAGCTTTTCCCACACTCCAAACACACGTACGGCTTTTCCCCTGTGTGAATCCTCTCATGGATACGGAGAACTGAGCTGCAACTAAAGAATTTCCCGCAGCTGGCACACTCGTACGGTTTCTCCCCTCTGTGAGTTCTCTCATGGGATGTCAAGCTTGAACTGTTGCTGAAGGATTTCCCACAGTCGGGGCAGCTGTAAGGTTTCTCCCCTGTGTGGATTCTCTGGTGGTTCAGAAGGTTTGAACTCTGGCTGAAATTCTTCCCGCAGTCTAAACATTTGTACGGCTTCTCTCCGGTATGGAGTCTTTGATGGCGGACAAGACTTGACCTAAAGCTGAAGTTTTTCCCACAATCTGTGCACGTGTATGGTTTCTCACCCGTCTGAAGGTCAGGAGTTCTCTTTTCATGTTCTGAATGTTTGGATGGATCCCTTTCACCATAGGCATTCTCCTGCTTTCCTGGGGCTGAACTGCAAATAAAGCTTTTACCCCAATTCGAACATGTACGAAGACTTCCTCCCCTCGGCTCTAAGATCTGACTGGAATCGTGCCCGCATTCGGCACATCTGTACGGTTTCTCTCCAACAGGGATCCTCTGCAGATTACTTTGAGAAACCTTTTGAGGCAACCCATCCTGACCATCGATGGTCGATTCTATTCTCCTTTGTTTGTTCTGCCCCAAAATGGAGTCCCAGCTTTCACCACCTTTGTTACGTTGGTATGGCTGTTTTTCAGCTTCCATTTTCTGGCATGTAGGAAGATCACAAGCATCGTCTCTGGGTGTTCTTTTCCAGATGTTTTGACTGAAGATGTTGGCATCCTCTTTCTCAAAGGTATGTTTTTCTGCTCCTCCTTGTTCTAAGGGCCTCCCTTCATTCCTCTCTGTCTCTTGATGACATTTTCTTGTCTGGGACAAGGAGAAAAGTTCTTGTGTGGCTTTATCAAATGGAACTCCAGTAAGTGCCATCAGGTGGGAAATTCCTTTCATAAACCTCTTCCTCTTGTTTTCAACCATTTCTACAGGGAAATAACAGAGAGAAATGAGGCTGTGGAGAGGATTTTGACATTTAATATCTCACTGCTTCTCCCCAATTAAACAGAGAGCAGCATAGGTGATATGATGATTCTCCTCTCACAATAAAAAAATCCCAAATGTTATTACTTTACAGCAGCAGCCCCACCCTTATATACAAGCTCCCCTTCTTTGGAAGCTAGTGCATAAATCATAGGTTAAAGAAAGCAACTCAGAAGTATATTAGAAATTTTGCAAAATCCAAATTGGACAAAACACAGATAGAAGCTGGACAGAGGGCAATCCAATCTGGAAATAAAAATGAATTTCCCGATAATAAGAATGATAAATCAACGGATCAATGGAATTATGGCTGCTCCAGCACTGGGGGTATCCAAGAAAAGATTGAACTACTATTAGTTTGAGATGGTGCAAAGACTCCTGCCTTGGGCAGGAAGTTGGAGTAGAAGACCTCCAAGGTCCCTTCCATAGACTTCCTATGATTCTATGATCTGTGACTCAAATCTTACCGAACAAGTGGATCTGATGATCTGTCCTTTGCTCAGCTGCCTTCATTCCTGTTTCCAACAAAGGCTGTTTTATTTTGATGCAATTTGTCTGAAAAAAAAAGAACACGATTTAAGAATATTTAATAGAAAACTTTCATATTTAGCAATGCATTATAATATTATAGCCAATGTACATACATACTACACAATAATATATAGATACATACAACATTATAAGAAAGGTGGGAGGATGGCATCCTTTTGCCTTCTTTAATCCCCCATCAGTGGGATTGCAGGTTTTTTTTTTTAACAGTCCTGAAATTAACAGATAGTTTTCTCAAAAAAAAAACACAACGTCCTGTTTACTGTGTGGGTCAAACGTGTTAAATTAGATTTGGTTTGCAGGAAAAGGCTGGCTGTTTGTGAAGATCCAGACTCTGTGTGTGTGTGTGTGTGAGAGAGAGAGAGAGAGAGAGAGTAAGAGTGAGAGTGAGAGTGAGTGAGTGAGTGAGTGAGAGAGAGAGAGAGAGAGAGAAAGAGTGAGAGTGAGAGTGAGTGAGAGAGTGAGTGAGAGAGAGAGAGAGAGAGAGAAAGAGAGAGAGAGAGAGTGAGTGAGAGAGTGAGTGAGAGAGAGAGAGA